TTTGTGTGTATAATACAAGTATGGGTTTTTAAAAACGTTTGAAAATGGAAAAATGAGACGTGTTGAAATTGTTCTAAGAAAGGGGAGGGGGGACTAAAAACGATGGAGTTGGTGATTTTAACTAAGATATTATAAGCACTTTTGTAAATGTCACAATAATGATATAATAAAAACTTAAAAATGAAATAGGTCAGAAAGCAAAAAAAAATGTGCGTATTAATTGTACATAATGAGGGGTTTCATTGTGATAGTTACACACATGCATTTAGTGTACTTTGAGTATACCTTGTAATCTTTCTTGTCTTTCTTCCCCTTCCTTCACCGTTTTTCTACTTTTTTTTTTTTGGTGGAACTATGGTTTGAACTCAGGGCTTCACGGTTGTAAAGCAGGCACTTTACTGCTTGAGCCACACATGAGTCAGTCCATTTTACTCTGGTTCTTTGGAGAGTGGATCTAGCCTTGAATCCTTGAATTCTTCCTGATCTCAGCTTCCCAAGTAGCTAGAATTAGTTATGAGCCACTGATGCCTGGTAGTACCAGTGTTTGAACTCAGGGACTTGTGCTTGCATTTCCAATCAATGGTTGGTTTGCCTCATTGCTTTTGGCTGTGTGGTGATGCAGTGTGTCACAGTGGGAACATGTGACAATACAAGAGCACTCATTTCATGGTCAGGATATAAAAAGAAGAGTAAGGGGCTGGGGACCCACTATTCCCTTTGAGGATATTACCCTAGTGACCTTAAAGGTTCCTCCACCTCCCAACCACACCAAACTGGGACCAAGCCTTTACCACATCGGGTTTTGGGGAACATTATAGATCCAGACTATAGTGGAGATACAGGAGTTACATGACTACATGAGGGAACAGCATTACAGTGCAAAAGCCCTAAGTACTGTCAGGAAGGGAGTAAGAGAAGGAAGTATAGAAAGAAATGAGCTCAGAAAGGTAAGATGGGAATCTAATGGAGATTTTGAGCAGAGAAGCAACATGACCCGACTTGCATTTCTAATGCTGTGGGAAGGACTGCTTCTGGAGGATCAGGATGGGAGCCAAGATATCAGTGAGAAGCCATGGCAGCAATCCAGGTGAGCAGTGATCCTCACGCCAGCATGGTAGCAGTGAGGAAGGTAAAGCAGACAAGACTCCCTGTATGTCTACATGTGAGACATGAACAAAGAGTTGAGGCTAATTAAGGTTCTCAGCTAGAATGAGTTAAAGAATGCAGCTGGCTGGCGCCAGTGGCTAATGCCTGTAATCCTAGCTAGTTGGTATGCTGAGATCCAGAGGATTGTGGTTCAAGGCCAGCTGAGCAAATAATCTGCAAGACCCCATTTCCAAAATAACCACAGCAAAATAGACTGGAGGTGTGGCTCAAGTGATAGAGTGTCTGTTTTGCAAGCACAAAGCCCTGAGTTCAACCCATAGCCCACCAAAAAAGAAAAGAAAGAAAAATGAAGCTGTAACCAAGTGAAATAAGTGATAGTGCAGATAGAACAGCTTTTGAAGTTCAAAATTCAATTTGGGACAGGTTAAGTTGGAGATGTCTACTAAACATTCAAATGGAAATGTCAAGTCAGAGTTTACTGTGAGATGGGGCTCATAGATATAAATGTGGAAGTCTTTGGAATGTAGGTGGCATTTTAAGCTAATGAATTGAATTACAGTGTCAGAGGAGTGGGGGTTTACAGAGAAGTGAAAATCGGGTTGTGTTTTGGGGCTGTCTGACCATAGGAAGTAAGGGGAAAGAGAAAGAAGAAAGCAATGAAACAGAGTAGCATGTTAGAAAACTATTAGAGTATGAAACCATAGGAGCCAAATGAAGCAAGTTTCCAGGAAAGGGTGTGACTAACTGTCAGCTGTTGCTGCTGAAAGGTCAGGTATGCTGACCTGACCTGAAAATTACTTAACAGTTAATATTTTTTTGGATGGGGAAGCAGTACTGTAGTGAGAACTCAGGGCCTTGTGCTTGTTAATCAGAGGTTCTACCACTTGAGCCATTTCCCTCCCAGTCTCCCTTTTGAAATTGTTTTGCTGAACTGATGTTTGAACTCAGGGCCTCACACTTGTTATATGCATGTGGTGTACCACGAGACACTCCACCAGCCTTTTTTTTATGATGGGTATTTTTGAGATAGGGTCTCATGAACTATTTGCCTGGGCTGGCTTTGAACTGAGATCCTTCTGATCTCTGCCAGCATAAGCTGCTGGTGCCTGGTCAGTATAGCAGTTTATTTCCCTTTTAAAAAGTTTTTTTTGGTGGGACTGTGGTTTGGACTCAGGGCTTTGCACTTGTAAAGCAGGTGCTCTAACATTTGAATAATAACACCTCCATTCCATTTTGCTCTTGTTATTTTGGAGATTTGGTCCCATGAACTATTTGCCTAGCTGGCTTCGAACCACAAACCTCCAGATCTCAACCTCCAAGTAGCTGGAATTAGAGATGTGAGCCACTGCTTCCAGGATCTTTCTTTGCCTAGACCAGCCTGACTTTCTGCCGTTGGTGAGATTACAGATTTGTACCACCACACCCAGCCTTTTTCCTAGCCCAGGCTGACCTAGAATTGTGTTCCTCCCCATCTCAGCGGTCTGCATGATTTGGGATGAACAGGAGCATAGTACTGCACCCAGCTCTTGATTGAGATGGGCTCTGGGCAGGCCTTGAACTACAGCCCTCTGGATCCCAGCCTCCTAAGTAGCTAGTATTACAGCTTTGAGCCACTATGGGCCCCTTTCCCCTTTTTTTTTTTTTTTTTTTTTTTTGAGGTAGGGATCTTGCTTTCTACTGGCTTGGAACTCATCCTCTTGTCTTAGTCTCCTGAGTGCTGAAATTATAGACATGTACCACCACACCTGCCTTAATTAGTGTGTATTAGTTGTATGAAGTAATGGGTTTCATTGAAACTTGTTCATTTTTTGTTGATGTAATTGGTTTTGAGATTGTAGTTGTTAACCATGGCTTATTTCTTCAGTGATCATTTCTTTTTTCCCCCTCACCCTTAGAACCTCAGCTGCTCTGTGTTGAATGTAAAGTGACTCTACTCTCATTCCCCCAGCATAGCTTCTGTTACCCTGTCTTCAGTTGTAATTTTCCATGCAGCATAAAAGTGCTTAAAGTTTCTAAACTTTAGCCTCCCTGCCTCAATTACATGGTGATACCACAGTTTCCCTTTGATAATTCGGATTGTTTACACGCACACACACACTTTTTTTTGTGTGACTAAAAATGGCTTGGTGTCAGTCCCATCCTTCAATGTATATATACATTGTGCCCCTATAGGAGCATTGCTCATTAGAGACTAAAGTCTCTGAACCAGCACACTTTTTTTTTGGCAGTACTGGGGTGTGAACTCACACTTGCTGGGCAGGTGCTCTGTCAGTTCAGCCACTCTATCAACTCCCCCGACCCCCCCGCCGCGATGCTGGGGTTTGAGCCACTCCTAGCCTTATTTTTGTGATTTTTTTTTTTTTTTTTTAAGGTAAGGTCTTGCTAACTATTTGCCTGGGTTGGCTTCTAACCGTGATCCTACTGATCTCTACCTCCTTAGGAGCTAGAATTATGTCAGTCATTTTTTTATGTTGGACATTTTTGAGGTAGGGTCTCGATTTTTGCCTGACCTGGTTTCAAACTGCAATTCTCCTGATTCTGCCTCTGGAGTAGCTAGGGTTGGTTATGTGTATGGGTTATGTGTCAGTGCCTAGCTCTGAAGCACTTGTAAGGTAGTGCTAGTGAAGTAAAATTTCTTATCAGTGGAGTCAGTTTTCCATGAACTGGATGCACATGTTCTGACTGTGGGGAGACAGCACCACGAAAGGCTCTCTGACTCAGAAAGCATGCATTTGGTCCTATGAGACAGAATCCCTTCCTCAGAGTATTGTGTCCCACATGGCTCAATGAGCTGTTCTACCTTTGATCTAGGTCAGCTGCTTCTGATGATGGAGATGTGACAAGACAGCCATTGTCACACTTTGCAGTGAAAAGGGTTCTTTGATGAGAAACAGGGTTGTGGATGGAGTGGCTGTGGGTGAAGGATTTGTTAGTGCACGGATGGTATGTTCACAGATACAGTAGGAAATCTAAAATAGGATTACAATTTAGGCAGGCTTGGGCACAAAGCAAGACTCTATTTCAAAAATAAACGGGGTAAAAAGGGCTGGAGGTGGGCTCAAGTGGTATAGCAACTGCCTACTAAGCATGAGGTCCTGAATTCAAACACCAGTACTGCCAAAAAGAAGGTACTTTTTGGTTTTTAGGTATGTATAATGTAGGTTTGTTGATTTTTAGTATTTGTTAAAATGATCAGTTGACGAAATTTCATGAACCTTTTTACTGGGATTCAAATTATAGTTATGTCTGAGGATCCTATTAAACTTTTTTGTCTATTGTCTTAAAAGGGCATCCTACAGGACATGGAAGAAAGATTGGTATACTCCTCTTTAACTGTAGGATTGATAAAACTTTTTTTTTTTTTTGTGGTACAGGGGCTTGAACTCAGGGCCTACACCTTGAGTCACTCTATCAGCCCATTTTTGGTGATGGGTGCTTTCAAGATTGGGTCTCATGAACTATTTTCCCTGGCTGGCTTTGAACACTGATGCTCCTGATCTCTGCCTCCTGAGTAGTTAGGATTACAAGTGTGAGCCACTGGCACCCGGCTTCAACTTTCTATAGTAATAATACTTTTTGCCCTAAAATAGTGCCCATATATACTCTTACATAGTAATGAATGTTCCTGTCATTTATACTTGCCTTCATACATGGAACTCTGTGGGCCCTAATTAGTTAATGTGGCCCAAAGTACATTAATGTAGGTTCTTCAAATCACTGATTCTAGACCTGAGCTAGGGCTGTGGGAGAACTCAGTGGCAGAGTGCTTGATTAGCATGAATAAGGCTCTGGATTTGATCCCCGACCCTGGAAAAAAAGAAACTATGCAGTCTATTAAATCAATAGCAGGTAAATACTGCCTAACATGTTCTGCTCCTTTCCTATTTTAACAGCCTGTCAGCCAGTGTGCCTCTCCCTCTGAAGGGTAACAGTTGACCTTTTCTACTGTACTGCTGGGGTACCACAAAAATTTTGCCATCACACAGTCTTCAGGCATCATCCTTACTGTATCCACTGTTGTCCAGAGCTGCAGGTATGATAATGTATTGATAACAACCTCTTCGACACAGGCATGAGCCACTGTGCCCAGGTAGAGAACTGATGTAAAAAAGTAGTTGTATAGAAAATGAAATTTTGTATCTCTTTATATTTGCAATGACTAAATCAAGATATTTACCTCACATACTTATTTTTTGTGTTTGGTTAGAGCACTTAAGGTCAACCTTGAACCTTCAAAAATTTTCAAATATACCATACTTTTTACTAACTGCAGTTACCATGATGGAATCTTCAACGTAACCCTTGGGTTTAGCTGAGACCAGCATGTTGGGCTCCATAGAAGTTTCATGCTCTTGACAGGTTCTAGATAATTAGTTACATGGGAAGACACACAGTGGTTCCCATGAACAACTCTTGTTCTTACAGTTCTTTGTTTTGCCCCAATTTTTTTCCCTAAATTTTGATTTTACCCCATCACATTAGGAGAAGAAGGCAGCTTGAGGGTGCACATTATCCTGCGACCTGCGATGAGCTAGCCATTGATGTCCCAGGCGGGCATAGGTTGTTTAGTTTTTGGTGTTTTGAACTCAAAGCCTTGTATTTGCTAGACATGTGCCTGTGTACCCAATAAGCTGTTGGTTGAAATGGGATTCCCTGGCTGTCCTGGAAAAAAACCTGAGATACTGTGCCCATCTTTTTTTTTGTTTGTTTGTTTTTGTACTGGGGTTTAAATTCAGGGCCTCATTGCTTACTAGATAGGCACTGTACTGTTTGAGTTACTCTGCCAGCCCTGTTTTGTATGTGGTGTTTTTGAGATAGAGTCTGGTGAACTATTTACCTTGGCTGGCTTTTAACTATGATCCTCCTGATTTCTGCCTCTGGGATGGCTATGATTTTTGGTGCAAGTCACCAGCACTGGTTTTGTTTGTTTGTTTTTTTCCCCTTAAAGAGACAGTATTTGTTTGTTGCCTAGGCTGGCCCTGAACTCCTAGGTTGAAGCTCACCCAGCTGCAGTTACAGGTGCATGCCACCATGCCATCCTTTTTCCTTGACTGAACACGGCATGAAATTCTTATGGGTATGTTGTGCCTTGAGCAGTAGCTCTTCAGGGTCTTTTGTGGCCCAGATTCATAAGCGCAATACCTCCTTTACCTATTCTTGCACTTGTTTTCTCTAATGAATCCATACCCCAGTACACTGGGGATGCCCACAAGTCTGCATCCACTGTAGATTCCTTTTCCATAAACTGAAGGAAACCATGCAAAATGAAATGTATTACTAGGGTGCCCACACAGACCCAGCATTGGGTCAGTACAGGCACTATACAGACAGCCTTTGTCCAATAAAATCAAAACGTAGTGGTCAGCCAGTTGCTTTCTGTGGCCCTTTCAGTTTATATGCAGTGCTTGTTGGCAACATATATGGCTCCCTTATACTGGAAGCCATTGAGTTCTCTTTGAAAATGGCCTGGGTAGTTGACTGGCTTTTGATTAAATGCTACCTGGGAAGATAGGTCTTTACATTCAGTGTGCCCCCTGCTGTATGACCTACCCAGGTATAAGAAACTATTGAGGAGGAAGCTGAGAAGTAAGGCTCTTTAATGACATAAAAACATCTTCTTCTAAAAAGAGTCCCTTAAATTTAGAGATGCCAGACTTACTTTCTTGGCTATTTTTGACAAAGAGGTCACATGGTTGTGGACTGGGTTCCAAATTTGTCATATGCTTAATCTTTTTTTTTTGGTGGTACTGAGGTTTAAATTCAGGACCTTGTGCCTACTTGGCAGGCACTCTTACTTGCCTCCATGCCTCCAGACTTGTTTGCTTTAGGTTTCTTTATTAGGGTCTGCCTGTACTTTAAGCCTTCTATTTATGCTTTCTATGTAGTTGAGATGACTTGCACACAACACTTTGCCCATTTTTATTGGTTGAGATTGGGTCTTGCCCAGGCTGGCCTCAAACCATGGTCCTCCCTTTCTCCATCTACTGAGGAGCTAGGATTACAGTATTCATCACCAGATTTTCACTATAGCCCAGTCTCATCTTGAATCCAGTAATCCTCCCAAGTGCTGAGGTAAATCACAGGTGTGCTCCACCACGCCCAGCTTATGCTGTGTCATCTCTATCAGAGTTAACCCTCCACCCCCACCATCCCTCACCCCCATCTCGGGACTGAAGTTGAACTTAGCTTTGCACTTACAAACCAAGTACTATAACATTGAGCCACATCTCCAGTGCATTTTATTTTGGAGATGGGGGTCTGAAGAACTGTTTGCCTAGGTTAGTACTGAACCATAATCCTCCTGATCGCAGTCTCCAAAGAGGCCAGGATTATAGGCGAGAGCCACTGGTGCTGGGTTCAGAGTTTATTTCTTGTGGCTAAGTTAATCTGTCTCACTCATTTTTTTCTGTTTTTAATTAATTAATTATTTTTTGCAGTGCTGGGCCTTGAACTCAGGAACTCACACTTGCTAGACAGGCACTCTACCACTTGAGTCATTCTGCCAGCCCTTTTTAGTATTGGGTATTTTCAGGATGGGGTTTCTTGAACTGTTGCCAGGACTGGGTTCAAACCACAGTCCTCTTGATATCTGCTTCCTGAGTAGCTAGGACTACAGGCTTGAGCCACCTGCACCTGACTCAGGGCTCAATTTTGTTTTCACCAAAGTTGATGTGTATTCTTCTGTGAGTATGTACACTGCTTTTTCTTTATTCGTCCAGCACTGTTGACCTGGATTGTTAAAACATCTTGTCTGTTGTGTGTAGGACTGCAGTAGATGAGGGAATGCAGATGTCTTTGACATTCTGATGTTACTTCCTTTGAAAATGCACTCAGTATTGGAATTACTAGATTATGTGGCAGTTTTATTTTTTAATTTTTGTAGGAATCTCTATACTGTTTCCTGTTCCTTTTATTTTGTTTCAGTGGGACTTTGTTTTGAATTCAGGGCTTTGTGCTTGCAAGGTAGGCACTCTACCCCTTGAGCCATGCATCTAGCCCTAGTGATAATGCTTTGATTTGTTTTTTTGTCTTGTGTATCCTTTAGATTTTGTTTTTTCATTTTATAGCTTACATAAAACATCGTAGAGTTATAACAGCTTTTTATGGTCATAGAAATGTCCCTTTGCATAAATAGCTACTTTTTTTCATCCCTATCATTTTATGTATTTAATTTCACAATTTATATCTTTTAGAGTCTTAAGTTGTATGCCCTTTAAACTACTGTAGTTACTAGTATTTTTAATACTTTGTGGTTTTGTTTTTTTTTTTTTAATCTTCATATGAAGACTATAAGTGACCATTAGAGGGCTCTAAATTTAAGTGTGTATTTTATCCATGAGATTTCTATTCCTGTGGATTTTTTTCCTCTGGTCGTACTAGGGTTTGAATTTAGGGCCTCACACTTGCTAGACAGGTACTTTTGAGCCATTCTACCAGCTATTTTTGCTTTGTTGGTTATTTTTGAGATTGGATCTCACAAACTATTTGCCTGGGCTGGCTTTGAACCTCCATCTTCCTCATTTCTGCCTCCTGACTTTAGGATTGTGGGCGTCGGCCACCGGTGTCTGGCTGTTGCTGGATGTTTGTAGAATTCCTTTTAACATTTCTTGAAAGGTAGATCTGTATAGTGATGAACTTTCTGTACTTTGTTTTTCTGGGAAAATCTTCATGTCTTGTCATTTTTGAGGAACAGAGGTGATGAGTTTGGTTCTGTGTGTTGGGTCTTTGTTTTTAGAAGGTTTTTTTTTTTTGTTTTCTTTTTCCCTTTAGCACTTATTTCACATATATGCCTGCTTTGTCCTAGCCTGTAAGTTGCTGGTGATAGATCTGCTCATAGCATTTTTGAAATTCCACATGTGATTTACTTCCCGCCCCCCCACATTGCCTTTAGGATCCTCTCTGTGCCTCACACTTTCTAAGTAGGCATGCTACCACTTGAGCCATGCCACCAGCCCTTCATTGGAGTCTCTTGGAAATTGGAGCTTCTCCATGGAAATTTGTTTTTTTCCTAGATGTAAGACATTTTCTGTTACTGTTTTGCAGGTCTGGGGATCAAGCCCAGTGCCTTATGCGTGCTTGGGAAGTGCTCTATTATTGAGGTAAATCTCCAGCCCTGTTACTGTTTTAAAATATTTAAAATATTTTTTCTTTCCCTTTGTCTGTTTGACCTTTGAAGTCCTATAGATCAGCTATTTGCCGGTTTAAATGTATCCCATAGATTCTATAAAGTTTTTTTTTTTTTTTTTTCCATTTTTCTCCTATAATCATATATTTTAAAGGAATTTTTTTATCAAGGTCCCAGATGCTTTCTTCTTTTGGATCAGTTCTTTTTTCTTTCGTGGTACTGGGGATTATTGTCTGATCATTTCTATTGTTTGTGGTATTTACTATATTTTTGTTTTCTTTTTGTATAATTAAGTTTAAAGGGAGGAATAAGTAAAAATTACCTAGTAAAGTTGATTCTCTGAGAAGAAACACCAAATAGATTGTTTGGCAAACTATTTGATTGATGTTACTCTTGGATGTTTTCTGTGTTTGTTAATTTTTTTTCTTTTTCTTTTTGGTGAGACTGGAGTTTGAACTCAGGGCTTCCTGCTTGCAAAGTGTTTGGGCCACACCTAGTCCAGTTTGCTCTGGTTATTTTGGAGATGGGTCTTGCAAACTATTTGCCAGGGCTGGTCTTGAACTGCGATCCTTCTGATCCCAGGATCCCAGGTAGTTAGGATTATAGGCATGAGCCACTGGCAGCAGACCCATGTTACTTTTTAATTGCGTAGCAAGGTACCTGAGAAAACTTGAGGAGAAGGAGATTTATTTTGGTTCACAGTTTCAGAGGATTCAGGCCATGGACAGGTGGGTCCATTGCTTTTTGGCCTGTGGCAAGGCAGGGCAGTTGGATGAAAGCTGATGCCCACATGGCACACAGAAGAAGAAGGCAGGGAGAGGGAAAGGAATTGGACTCTACTTCTACTCTTCCGGGCACACCCCTAGTGACTTACTTCCTTCAATTTGGCCACACCCCCTAGGTTTCAAACACCTTCCAATAATGCCATCAGATAATGAATGAAGATGATTAATCCACTGAGATTAGCCCTTGTGCTCCAAATAATTTCCAACAGTTCCACCTCAGGTACCAATTTCCAGAGTCCTTTATATAGTAGCTGTCTTGGAGAATAATAACTACAGAAGATTAGATTCTAGGGAGGCTTGCATTGAGGTCCTGGTTTCCCACATCCTCACTAATTGATGATGGAATAATCACTTGTGTTTTCTGAATCAAGATTTTTTCCATCATAAAATTCTGGTTATATTATCTACTGTGAAGGGTTATTAGAATTAAGAGGGTTTATGTATACACATCAGTTCCTAGTATGAATTATAACATGTAGCATTCCTCAGGAAATGTCAGTTGGTGTTACTAATTTCATGTTTTACGGTGTATCTTTTTTTTTCTCTCCCTTTTTTTTTTTGCACTGGAGATTGAACCCAGAGTGTCCTGCTTGCTAGGCAAGCATTCTGCACTGAGCTGAGTGCCCAACCCACCATGTACCAATTCTATTGGCTATAACAGATCACTAGCAGGAAGCTAATGTTTGATGACTGATAAGTAATATTTATTAATAATTTATGTCTATAGGAATTATTTAGATAATCCTGGTTAAATAGGAATGCGTTTTGGCACTCTCCACTTAGATACATAAGCTGCCCTGACATGTTCCTTGGAAACATGTAAGAGTGTTTGCATGTGTATGCTGGCTACATACTTATTTTTCTGAGTGTTCTGAAATGGTAATGAAAAACTTGTGAATACTTTGTAATGTGCTCAGGAATTTGCTGCATTATAGGGAAGTAGGATGAAAAGAAGTTTCAAGTTTAGTTGGGGTAAGTTAGTTCACGTATAACAAGTGCCAAAGCCGTATGATTGTTTGAGACCACAGAGAGTGAGTGTGAATAGAGACACATCCAAGGAACATTGAACTCTGGGATAGAATATGGGAGACTTTAGAATCCTTTATAGGGATTATTATCACTTCTTCATTCCCCATGAATAGTGATGAAGATGCTACTTGACTCAAAGTAGCATGTGCATGATGGTATGGGACTTGGTGACCTTTGAGGATATGGTTGTGACCTTACTCAGAGGAGTGGACTTTGTGTATTTTATATTTTCTAGGATTGATGATGTCAACTCTGAAAACAGTTGGAACCAACAGAGATAGTGTTCCTACCATAATACATCTAATCTGCTACTGGTGATTGTTGTCAAATGTCCTACAATTAATAGCATCAGGATAATTCCCTTAGAAAAGTGCATCCTGAGACTCTACTTTTGACATACTAAATCAGAAAGTCTCCATTTGTGCCCTGTCATCTGTGTTTTAAACAATTCTTCCATGTGAATCTGTTTCATTCTGAAGATGACAACCTCTGGTGTAGTAATTTACCATGAGAATAAAGATCTTTCTCTCTTGTATGTCCTATTTGAATAAGTCTAAATGACTTTTTCATGGATATTTAAATCTGAATGTGAATTCCTTGGGTCAGACAGAACCATTCCTTTGTGTGTGTGTTTGTGTGTGTGTGGTACTGGGGCTTGAACTCATCAGGGCCTATATCTTGGAGCCACTCCACCAGCTCTTGCTTGTGATTTTTTTTTTTTTTTTTTGAGATTTAGTCTTAAGAAGTATTTGCCCCTGCTGGCTTCGAACCATGATCCTCCTAATCTCTGCCTCTTGAGTTGCTAGGATTACAGATGTGAGCCACCAGTGCCTGGCAGAGATAGCCATTCTTGTTAGGATATCTGAAGACTTGAGTACTTGCATTTTGAGCTGCTTAAAAAATTTTTGGACTTTTTGGCTCATGCCTGTATTCCTCACTACTTGGGAGCATTGAGGTTCAAGGCCAGCTGGGCAGACCCCATCTTTAAAATAACTACAGCAAAATGAACTGGAGGTGTGGCTCAAGAGGCCTGCTTTGGAGGTAGGAAGCCCTGAGTTCAATCCCCAGTTTCACCAAAAAATAAATTAGCCTGGGCATGCTAGCTTGCTTCTGTAATCCAGGTACTTTGAATCAGGAGGATTGTGGATTTGGATAACCAAGAGACAAAAAGTTAGGGTGAACCCCATTTTAACAAGAAAAGCAGGGCATGTTTGCATACTTTGGTAATCCCATCTTCAGGTGACATGGAAGTAGGATTGCAGTCCAGGGAAGCACAGACATAACACTGAGCAACTCTATTTGAAAAATAACTAAAACAAAGGGCTTCCGTACATTACTCTAGGGGTGTAGGCTTGCCTAATAAGTGAGAGACTCTGAGTTCAAACTCCCCTACCACTACAAAAAATTTTTATTTTAATGTTTCATTAGAAGTGTAATTCCTCTCATATAGAAAGTTTGTCATCCCTTACATGAGACCCTTCCACTGATGTATCTCTCCTGTGTATAGGCAGTCAGCTGTGAGCCCAGCCTGATCTCTTGGTTGAAGGAAGTAGAGTTGGCAATAATGGAGCGAAGTGTTCTCCAAGGTAAGTATGAGCCACACCTCATGCGGAAACTTTTCTTTTTGTTGGTACGGGGTTTGAACTCAAAGGTTTTAGACTTGCTATGCAAGTGCTGTAACATTTGAGCCACTCTGCCAGCCCTGAAGGCTGAAGTCCTTTAACTGTGAATTTTGGGATATCTTCAACTTCCCGTATTCACTACTTTATCCATCCTTTCTTATGATCTCAGCGGTGACCTGCTGTCATCCATCTTGAGTTTATTGGTTCTATTTGTTCAGTTATTTCCAGTTTTCCTTCTAATTTTATTATTTCTGGTCATTGCATTTAATGTTCATAGAAACAGTTCTTAAACTTACATATTTTGACCCCACATCCTTATGTTTGACAGAGTTCAAGCATAGGCAATTATTTTTGTTTAGCATGTTTCAAATGAAAATAATACTAGTCTTAATTTATTTAAGCTCCTGTTTTGTTGTGCAGACCTTTGTAATTGTTTTCTGTTTTTCTTCAGAATGGGAAATGCACCTTAAAACCAAAGCGACAGCACTTGAGCAGGATATATTTTGGTCAGATGCGTCAAGTAGCATACAACTGGTAAGAGTCACAAGAACATTTCTTACTTTCCAAGTTCATGGAAGACTGGGAAGTCACAGAAAGCAATCGTCAAGAATGAGAAATAGTTGAGAGAAGTAGTCATAATTCATAGCGAAGCAGTGTCTGTGGAGAGAGATGCCCCAAACTTAGTGTGAAGTTTGGTGCTTCAGACTTCCCACAAGTGTATATTCATGTATAAGTCTGAAAACTCCTTTAATCCTCATTCATCCCTTTATCAACAGGCAGAAAGCAACAGTGGAGGGGAGCTCTGTGACTCCAAGCATGTTGGAGAAATCTTCAGTGAACACTCACACCTTCAGACACACACTATTACTCCAAATACAGAGAACAGTTCTGAGTGTAATAGGTATGGGAAAGACTTCCTTCCACTGCTCAAGGAAACCTCTGCAGAAGAGAAACTATCTCTGTTGATTAAACATGAAGACGCCTTCACCCTGAGTCCAAACAATGATTACCAGACAACTTGCACTGAAGACAAATCCTTCGAATGCAGTGATTGGGGGAAAACCTTTGTTAATCAACCACACCTTCAGGCAAATGACACAGCTCATGATGGTGAAAAACTTTATGAGTGGGAGCAGTGTGAGAAAGTTTTTAGTCAGTCCACAAGCTGTTCTACCCATGTTCAAACACACACTATAAAGGAGCCCTACGGATGTGGGGATTTCTTCACATATCCTTTCTACCTGAATAATATGGGAAATCACACTTGGCAGAAACCCTATGAATGTAAGGAATGTGGGAAAACCTTCACTGTGCACTCGGCCCTTACTTCACATTTACGAAGTCACAATAGGAAGTCTTACGATTGTAAGGAATGTGGGAAAGTGTTCACTAAATCCTCAGGGCTTATTGAACATATGAGAAGTCACACAGGAGAGAAACCCTTTGCATGTGACCAGTGTGGGAAGGCCTTTGCTTCTTCTTCATATTTGATCGCACATTTGAGAACTCACACTGGAGAGAAGCCCTACGAGTGTAAGGTGTGTGGGAAAGCATTTACTCGTTCGTTTTACCTTCGCATTCACATGCGAACTCACACTGGAGAGAAACCTTATCAATGTAAAGAATGTGGGAGAACCTTTGCTGTGCGCTCATGCCTTAATATACACACACGGACGCATACTGGGGAGAAGCCCTACAAGTGTAAGGAATGCGGAAGAGCCTTTACCAGCTTTCGTCAACTCACTGAACATATGAAAACTCACACTGGTGAGAAGCCCTTTGAATGTCATGTTTGTGCGAAAACCTTTAGAAATTCCTCATGCCTTAAGAAGCACTTTCGAATTCACACCGGAGTAAAACCGTATAAATGTAAGGAGTGTGGCAAAGCTTTCTCTGGGCATACTGGCTTTACTACACACATGCTGACTCACACTGGGGAGAAGCCATATGAGTGCAAGGAATGTGGCAAGGCCTTCACTACTTCCTCACACCTTCTTGGACATCTAAGAAGTCACACAGGAGAGAAACCCTTTGACTGTCACCAATGTGGGAAGGCCTTTGCATCTTCCTCTTATCTTACTGTCCATTTGAGAACTCACACTGGGGAGAAGCCCTTTGAGTGTACAGTGTGTGGGAAAACATTTTCACGTTCTTCCTATGTTCGCAGGCACATGCGAACTCACACTGGAGAGAAACCTTTTGAATGTGAGGAATGTGGGAAAGCTTTCAGTGAGCGCTCGGGCCTTACTAAACACTTAAGAACACACACTGGGGAGAAGCCCTATCCGTGTCAGCAATGTGGGAAAGCATTCATAAGCTTTTCTCAAGTTACTGAACATATGAAGACTCACACTGGTGAGAAGCCCTTTGAATGTCAGGTCTGTGCAAAGTCTTTTAGAAACTCCTCATGCCTTAAGACTCACTATCGAATTCACACTGGAATAAAACCATATACGTGTAAGGACTGCGGGAAAGCTTTCACTGGGCGTACCAGCTTTACTACGCATGTGCTGACTCACACTGGGTCCAAGCCATATGATTGCAAGGAATGTGGCAAGGCCTTCTCAACTTCCTCATATCTTATTGAACATCTAAGAAGCCACACAGGAGAAAAACCCTTTGAATGTATCCACTGTGGGAAGTCCTTTGTTTCCTCCTCATCTCTTCATCTACACTTGAGAACTCACAGTGGAGAGAAGCCCTTTGAGTGTACGGTGTGTGGAAAAGGGTTTACATGTTCCTCCTACCTTCGCAGGCATGTGCGAACTCACACTGGTGAGAAACCTTATATATGTAAGGACTGTGGGAAAGCCTTCACTGAGTGCTCAGGCCTTTCTAAACATTTAAGAATACACACTGGGAAGAAGCCCTATGAATGTTTAGAATGTGGGAAAGCCTTTGGCACTTCAACCCATTTACGTACCCATGTGAAAATTCACACTGGATATAAACTGTCTAAATGGAAGGAATGTGGAAAAGCCTTCACTAGTTCTGATCTTAATGAACAAATAATCCCTGGAGAAAATCACTTTGACTGTAAGGAATGAGGAAAATTTGTTAAGGACTCTCAATTGCTATCACATTTGAATTCAGTCTTGAGAAACTATCATGGTAAGCACTGTAAAAGCATTCAGTTGTCCCCTTTCACCTTAAAGAGATGAGACACCTCTCACTCTGAAGATGTCCAATGAATATAAAGAATGTGGGACAGTCATTGGACTCTACTCACCATCCCGCATGTAATACCTTACCTGAGAACATACAGTGTAAGAAACACGGAAACCCTTCGCTGTGTTCCTCAAGGTTTGCTCAGTTTGTGAGATGTTGCAATAGAGTGAAATCCTCTTGATGTACCATATCTGTGTAAGTTGTTCTGTATGATGTTCACCTGTGATCTCACAGTGGAGAGAAACTTTGTAAAAGCAAGAAATGTGGAATGGAGAAAAACTTCATGAAAGTAAGAAGTATTGGAATGTCATTTTTACATATTCCTTACATATCTCATACGAAATGTGATTCACATTGAAGAGGAACTGTGTGTGGAATATGGGAAATGCTTCCATGTGTCCTGAAGTCTTGTGTGCTAATATTCATGGATTTCTAGATGGGTATATAGGTAACGTTTTTATTGTTTTGAATTTTTCATATATTCTAGTATAAGTGTTTTATGACTAAAATTATAAATAATTCCACTTCCACTACAGTTTTCTTTTTTTTAATATCTTTGTTGAGGTATCATTGACAGCTAAATATAAGTGTGCAACCTGATTTTGAAATAATCTGTCACACTGAAGCTAATTGGTATATATATCTCTTCCCATACTTACCTCCTCTCACCAGATGATTATTTTGGGGAGTAATGAGTACTAGGGCTCCAGCCTAGGTCTTTATGTTAGGCAAGCATTCTAGCACTGAGCTCCCCAGCCCCCATACTTTTGTCATGTTATGAAAACACTTTGTACTGTCTTAAATTTCATATATACAGTACATTATTGTTACCTGTAGACAGCATTCTGTACATAATATCTCAAGTACTCAAATATCCTATAAGTGAACTTTTGAACCTTTGACCCTTTTGTCACAACTCTCAGCTTGTCACTGCTCTTGTAATCTCTGCTTCAGTGAGTTTTACAGTTTTTTTTTTGGTGAGGTCATACAGTCTTTTGGTTTTTTTGGGTTTTTTTGGTGGTATTCTGGTTTGAACTTTGGGCCTTGTTCTTGCTAAACAATTGAGCCATTCACCTAACCCTAGATTTTTTTTTTTACCATTTTGTTTTCTTTATTTGTGACAGTATTGCTGTGTAGTCCATATTGGGCTTAAACTCCTGATCCTCCTGCTGGGATTACAGGTGTTTGCCATCACACCTGGGTAGTTTTATCCATGTGTTGGGACACAAGTATTTCCATACATTCACTATTAAGAATACTGCTGCTGAGCCAGGCACAGTGGCATGTCCTCACTATTTAGGAGGGTGAGGCAGGAGGATTGTTTGAGGCCTGCCTGGGCTACATAGTGAGACCCCACTACACACTCCAAAAAATATTGCTGCAGTGAACACAGGCAAATGGATGTCTCAGGCAGTGGTTTTTCTTTTCTTTTTTTTTTTTTTTTTTTTAAATGGTACTGGGGTTTGAGCTTAGGACCTCATGCTTGTTAGGCAAAGTGCTCTACCACTTGAGCCACTCTGCAAGCCCTTTTTTGGTGTTGGGTATTTTCAAGATGGGGTTTCAAGAACTATTGTGTGGGCTGGCTTGAAACCATGATACTCCTGACCCCTGCCTCCTGACTAGTTAGGATTGCAGGCATGAGCCACTGGGGCCCAGCCAGTTGTCTTACTTCTTTGGATGTATATCCAGAAATGTTTGCTGGATAATATTATAGTTCTACTCTTAATATTAGGGAAAACTTGCATAACTGTTTTCCTTAATGGCTACCAATTTGTATTTCCACCAGCAGTATTACAAGGGTCTTGTTCCCCTCATCCTCCTTATCAGCAGTTTTTACTGTTGACTTTATTATTGACATAGCCATCCTAACATGTGAGGTGATACCTCATCATGGTATTTGCATCCCTGGTGATTTAACATCTTTTTGTGTATCCATGTAGTTATTTTTGTGCCTTTGAAAATACTCTGCTCCTTTGCATATTTTAAATTGGGTTAAGTGGTTTTTTGCTATTCAGTTAGATGTATTCTTTACATATTTTGAATTACAACCCATTGTCAGTTATGTGGTTTACAAATACTCTTCTCCCCTTCTATTTTTTGCCTCTTCATTTGTTAACTTTTTCTCATTGTAAAACATTTTTTGTTTGATGTATCCTGACTTGTTTATTATTGTTTTTGTTGTCTTTGGTTTTGTTGGGAAGTCCACAAATCATTGTTAACACAAGTGTCAGGAAGTTTCTATGTTTTCTTCTCACTTTTTTTTTTTTTTTTTGGTTTCACAGCTTGAGTCCATTTGCTATGGATTCTTGTGTATGATGTAAGATGTCCAGTTGCAATCTTTTGGATGTGCATATCTGGTTTGCACGGTATCATTTATATAAGACTATCCCATCCCCATTTGTGTATTGGTGCTTTTGTTGGCGATTACTTGACTGTATATGCATGAGTTTGTTTCTGAGCTTTCTATTATGTTCCTGTTTTATGTGTCTGTTTTTATGTCAGTAGAATACTTTTTTTTTTCTGGTGCTGGGGTTTGAACCCAGGGCCTCACACATGTACAATACTGTTTTGATTATTGTAGCTTTATAATATAATTTGAAATCGGGAACTGTGATGGCTCCCAATTTTGTTCTTGCTCAAGATTTGCTTTGGCTCTTTAGTCTTACCTGGTGCTATATGACTTTTAGAATTTTTTCGTAATCCTGTGAAATGTATCTTTGAAATTTTGAAAGGAATGGCATTAAATTTGTAGATTTGTTTGAGGAGTGTGAACATGGCAACAATATTCAATCTGTAAATATGGATTATTCCATTTATTTGTGTCCATTTATTTCTTTCATCAATAATTTGTAGTTTTCATTGTACAGGTCTTTAAACCCACTTGTTAAAAGTATTATATTGTTTTTTCATTAGGATTCTTAGTTTCTTTTTTGCTAGACAGGCATTCTATCACTTGAGTCACTGTGTTGGGTATCTTCTGAATTTTTTTTTGTTTGTTTGCATGTGTTATATAATTTAGTTGATTTGTTTTAGTTCCAATAATTTTTTCATTTACTTTACTAAGTAATTTTTCTACATTTGCAAACACAAACTACTTCCCAATTTGGATGTTTTTTTTTTTTTTTTTTCAAATCGCTCTTAACTAGGATTTGCAGTGTTACGTTGAAGTGTCTTATTCATGATCTTAAAGGAAAAGTTATGAGTTCACCATTTATGATGATAGTTTGGGGCTTGTCATATGGCCTTTATTAGTTGAGATGCTTTGCCCTTTTTTTTGTTGTGCTGTGTTTGAATTCAGGGCTTTGCACTTTCTAAACAGACGATACATTGCTTAGCCACCTGGTGCAGCTTGAGCCCTGAGGTGCAGTTTTAAATATTTTGGGGAGTGGTCATGGGAGGATGAGTGTTGTTTAAATTTTTTTGCCGTGATTTTTCCCTTCATTAATGTGTATGTATCACGTTTTCTGATTTGTGTTTGTTGAACCATCCTTGCATTCCAGGGATAAATCTCACTTGGTCATGGTGTGTGACCCTTTCAATAATTATGTTAAATTTGGCAATCAAAAGACCTACAACAGCATACTGCAGCAAAAAAGACATCTACCAATATGCTGCATATAAGAGACTCACCCTTTAGGACACAAGTTGACTGAAAGTGAAGGGAGTAAAAGAGAATCTTTCCAAATGAAAACTAAAAAGATCAGATGAGAGGCGGGCTGTAGCTCAGTGGTAGCACAGCTAGAGCCACGAAAACACAAAACAACATAAAAGAGCAAGAGTATCTATTATATGTGATAAAGCAAGTTACATACCATAACAAGAGAATGGGAGGTTATAGGTATCAGTGGAGCCCCTTACTATATAAGGAAAATATTAAAAGACCTGAAGAGAGAAATAGCAATATAAAGATAACAGGGGTCTTGAGTAACATACTTTGAACAATTGATGGATTAGCATTGCACCCAACAGTAACAGAATATACATTGTTAAATGTGCAGAGAACATGTGACAGGTTTGAATTTAATAAAGTCATTTTATCCATTTTTCCCTTTGAATGGATTTTTCATTTAATTTTCTTATCTTTTTAAATTTATATTTTATTTTTCATTAGCACATAATAGTTGTAGAGAGGGATACATTGTGATATTTACATAGGTGCTTACAATATATCTTAGTTATATTCACCCCCTCCATCGTTTTCCCTTATCACTTTCCTCCCTTGCTAGAAAAATTTCAGCAGGTTTCGTTCTGTTTTCATACACGAATGCAAGAATCTACTATATTCACACTCATTCGCCTTTTTGTTATGCATACCCCCTCCCACTGTTAACCAGTCCTGGAAAAGACCTGTTTTACCCTCCTGTCCTTTTTTTTTTTTTTTTTTAAGGCATATATTGCTAGTCCAAGGGCGTTTCACCTTGGTACTTCAGGCCTGTGTATATCATGCTTTAATCAGAGTAACCCCTTTCCCGTTGCTTACTCTTTCTCTGTCACCACGCTCCTCTGATCAACAGCTTACGGTGCGTTATATTCATACATAGGTGACGCTAAATATTTTTCATTCTCTGAGATTAATTTCTCTTTGCTCTTCCACCTCCCCTTGTCCCCTCAGACCTACTAATTTTCTTCTTGATGTCTTTTAATGAATTTTTCGTGAAGTATACAGTTTGTTTTGGTGCTGAAGTCAAAGTATACAGTTTTGAGCAGTCATTTTTGTGTCACAATTGACTGAACATCATGAAAAAATTGTTGACTCAAAATCTAAAGCTTGTGAAAATATATATCCAGTTTTGGTGGGGATGTACACTGGGGAAATTTCAAAAATCTTGGCAGTATATACTAAATCTGTGCTTGTGCACACTGTAACAACAGTAATTGCACATGTATGTGTGTAGATCAAAGTACTCTATTCACACCAGTACTTTTTATATTTTGGCTCTACTGTGCTTAAACCCAGGGCCTAATGCATGAAAAGACTGCCTGCCCCTCTCCAACTCAGAAATTTCAAACTCATTAGAGAATGTGCATATTTATTATTTGTGGTTGCTTAACAAGCTCAGTGGAATCAATTATCAGTTTTTTGGGGTCAGGAGCCCAGAGATGGCTTGATAGGTTCTCTGCTCAGGATTGTACTCAGCTGCAATCAAGACCTGCTGGTCACACACATCTATAATCCTGTCTACAAAGGAGGCCTCCACATTGGGTTCGAAACCAGCCAGGGGAAAATAGTACACCAGACCCTATCTCAGAAATCCCATCACAAAACGGCTGGTATGGCTCAAGGTGTAGGCCCTGAGTTCAAGTCCCAGTACATCAAAATAAAGACCCAACACAAAGGATGGCTGAGTGGCTCAAGTGGTAAATGCCTGTCCAGCAAGCTTAGGCCTTGAGTTGAAACCCTAGTACCACCAAGACTTTGGATGAGTTGCTATCTCATCTGCTTTTACTAGTTGTAGTCCATTTTCTGTTGCCGTAACCAAGTACCTGAGGCTGGATACTTCATAAAGAAGAGAGGTATATTTAGCTTAGTTTTGGAGGCTGGAAATCCAAGATCAATGGAGCCCCATTTGGTTAGCCCTTTGTGAGATTCCTACAACGTGGCAGAGAAGCAGAAAGAAATGGCTTTGTACAGAAGGGGATAACTACGTGGTGTTGACCTCGTTTTATAACATTTTACTCACAGGAACTTAAGACCATCATTAATCACTTCCATGTGAGGAAGTGCCTATGTGACCAAACAGACTAATCTACTTCAATATAATCAAAAGTAAACAAATCACTGGAATCTCTTGCTTCATAGGCAGGCAAAGTATGTATCAAAATCCAACATCCTCTATATAGTCAGTCATGATACCAGATATGCCAGAACACTCCTTGACCCCCTTTATAGTAGAGGCATTCAGTAGAACCTTCATGTCTCTGATAGGTCTTAAGTAACTGTAATCTAGCAATACAGTGGTCTCAAATAACTCCTTTTTAATTACTGCACACCTCAACCTCTAGTTTTCTGCTTTGTCCAGACCTTAATCTGTTTGTATAAAAAAAGAAAATTGGCCAGGCCTGTAATACTATCTACCTAGGAGGCAGAGATCAGGAGGATCATGGTTCAAAGCCATCCTGGGCAAATAGTTTGTGAGACCCTGTATCGAAAAACCCCAACACAAAATAGGGCTGGGCGAGTGGCTCAAGGGTGAAGGCCCTGAGTTCAAACCCCTGTTCCACAAAAAAAAAAAAGGTGGTTTTAGTGCTTGTTTAGGTGTGCTATCACTTGTACCATGCTGCCAGCCCACATTACTCTGGTCATTTTGATTATTGGGTCTTGCTTTTTAGATCAGGCCCGTCTGGCGCAAAAAACCTTCCTGCTGTTGCTAGGATGACTGACACACACCATCATACCTCATACCCCCACACCCAGCATTTTTTTCTTTTTTTAATTAAAATGGAGGCTGTCCTCAAACAGTGATCTTCTCAATCTCAACCTCCCGAGTAGCTAGGATTACAGGTGAGCCACCATGGTCCAGTTTGTTTTTATAAAATGTTGATTTTATCCCCTCTCATATGGGCAGGCAATGCAAATTTTCATAGGACTCAGTAACTAGATGCTGGCCATTGCTTCTTTGATATAGAAGTTTTTTTTTTTTTTAAATAGAATTCATTTGAACAGAAACTTCCATGAAGAAACAAGATTGAAACCCTGTCAGGGACAACTGCACACTATTTCTTTGACTTTTTGTCGTATCACCACTGGTTCTGATTTCTTTCGTTGGTTTATATAAGCTTTAAATTTTTGTGTTGTTATGACTGGTTCTGGTTTCTTTTGTTCGTTTATAAGCTTAGGCTCCCATATCAGCTCAAGAGGGACCCCAGTCCCGCATCTAGCTGGACTCTGGCCCAGCCCAGCATTTCACCAATGGAGATGACATCGCCTCAGCCCTCACATTTGGGGAAAGTCTTGTGTTAGAGACATTTTTTCCTTACACTGAAGCCGCCATCAACAGGTGCCCATGTACTGCCTTTCCTGAGGCACAGGGTGCATACTGGACACTTGTGTGCTATTTCTCGTGAACTCGGTGTCTGCTTTGCCCGGGATCCAGGTAATACTCCTTTGTTTCTGTTAGAATGTGCACTCCTACGCTTCCATGCTTAAAGGAAAGGTTAATGAAAACTTGCTTTGTCCAAGAGACATTTCTCTTAATGTTAGTCAAACCCTGTCCCCCTGGAGAGAAGACCCCACTTCTTGAAGCCTTTTTTAGGACTCCTTCTGGCCCCCTCCACAAGGTTTCATCATGAATGTCTGACTATTACCCTCTTACCCACGCTCTCAGATCAAAGAATGTGAACTCACAGCTACATTATGCCCTGAATAATGACTCCTTTGAAGTCTATTGTGTCCCCAACTAGGCAGAAACACCTTATGTGTTTTTCCTTTTCCCCCCTCCTGCACTTGATTTCTGGGAGTAGAATGCTACCCTGGTGTGGGATGGGTACATTGGAAGCTCCCAGTGGAAGTACCACTGGGAACCACCTCTTTTCTGTCAACTCAAGGATGCCATGCATGCTGGGGTTGGTATGTACGTCTATGTTGACAGGACTTGCCAGGAGCTGTGAGCATAGGCAGTGGTATATCAGGCCTCTGTCAGACCGAATTACAATATGGATGGCAACCAATACCATTCAGTGGCTCTTTCAGATCATAGGCAATGGCGACAAGAAAACGTGGCCCTTATCCTATAAGGGTCTCTTTCAGAACTTAGAGTGGGAGGCTCTGTGTGGTGGTCCACAGCTATAACCCGGCTACTTGGGAGGTGGATGTCGGAGGCTCATCTCACAGTCTGAGGTAAAGTTAGCACAAGACCTTACCTATCTGAAAAACAAACTAAACATGAAAGGACTAGGGCATGGCTCAAGTGGTAGAGTGCCTAGCATTGGGAGGCCCTGAGTTCAGTCCCTAGTACTGCCAAATAAATAAATAAAGTGTACCAACTTACTTACTCTTGAGTAAATGCTATTCAGGGAAGGACAAGTTTATGCCTTTCAGGGTACCTACTGTTCTGTCTGCTTACACAGGTTATAGGACAAACTGTAAGGAATTAGGCAGGAGGTAAAGCTGTTTCATGATGTAATGAACACATTCCAAAAGATTCTGTTAATTTCAGAGATGTATGACCTGTTTCCTTTGTTATCAACAAAGTCTGTCACCTTGCTGTGGCCTGGGTTCCAAAACCTCATGGGTGAAATAGGACTCTTGTTAGTTCTTTATTAAAGTTTATTTTTGGTGGCTATGTCAATCTGTCTCAACTTTAATACCGCAACAACCTAGGTAACAAGTGTTGTCAATGCCAATTAGTATCGGTAAAGACTTCGAGGCATCACAGAATTTATTGTACATTTAAAGATGTTCAGGCTGGGGGAGTGGGTCAACTGGTAGAGTACTTCTGTATCAAGTGTGAGGGCCTGAATGCAGACCCTAATACCACCAAAAAATTCATACACACATATTTGAGACAGGGTCTTACTATGTAGGCTGTGATCACCTGGAACTCTGAACTTGTTTATTTATTTTTTTTGAAGGGGGGGCAGCACTGGGGTTTGAACTCAGGGCCTCACACTTGCTGGGCAGGTGCTCTACCACTTGAGCCACTCCACCAACCCCTTTTTGTGTTGGATATTTTGAGAATACGTTTTTGTGAACTAATATTTGAACCTGTGATCCTACTGATCTCTTCCTCCCTAGTAGCTATGATCCCCTGCCTCATGGTTGGATGATCAGGAGGCTCACACACAGCCTGTTCCTTGGGAATTTCAAGCATCAGAAAATACGAACTTCTAAAGCTGGGCCTTGGGGTGCATCCCTATAATCCCAGTACTTGGGAGGTTGAGAAAGGAAGATCTCCAGTTCAGGGCCAGCCTGGGCTGCATAGTGAATTCCAGGTCATCAGGGGCTACATAGTGAGACCCTTTCAAAATACAAGGGCTGGGTGTATAGCTTAGTGGTAGAATACTTGCCCAACGTGCAGAGTCCTGGGTTCAATGCCTAGTACTGAAAAAGGCAAAAATTATAGTGGCTATCATTACATTTTATGTTTCTGCCTTCAGGTGGGTGGAATCTGAAAAATACTGTTACTGTTCTATCAACAGACAAGAATTCACAGTGGAGAGAATCATATATTGATACTTTGCTTTAATAAGTGCCATTTGATTTTTTTCATTACCACTACCTACTTGGCAGAAATTGAGAAGCTGGGGCTGTTGGAGTGTAAGAGTGCTTGCCCTTTGAGTTCAAACCCCAGTGCTGCCAAAGGAAAAAAATTGACAAGCTAATCCTAAATGTCAGATAGAAATGACAAAAGAGTCAAAACAATCTCCAGCAAGGAACACAGTTGGAAGATTCACACTTCCAGATTTGAAAATATGCTACAAAGTTGCAATTATCAAGCTAATGTAGTACTGGCTTAAAAATATATTAATGGAACAGAACTGAGAGTCTAGCCAGGTGCCAGTGGTTCACATCTTACTTGGGAGGCTGAGATGGGGAGGATCAAGGTTCGAGGCCAGCCCAGGCAAACAGTTCTCGAGACCCCATCTCCAAAATAATTGCAAAATGGATTGGAGGTGTGGCTCAAGCAATAAAGCACCTGTTTTGCAAGCATGAAACCCAGAGTTCAAACCCCAGTCCTACCAAAAAATAAATTGATATTCCAGGAATGAAGACTTACAGTTTTTGATAAGGTTGCCAGAGCAATCCAGTGTGGAAAGAAACAAATGTTTACAATAAATGGTGCTTGTACAACTGGGTATCTATATGCAAAATCATGTAGTAAGGACAGTATTGATAATTGGTACCAAAATAATTGGCCATCTTTCTGTAGGAAAAAAAAAATTGACATCAGTTACCCTCAAACCACATGGCAAAATACATTCCATGAAGTTAAAGCACTGCAACTGGAGTCCCAAGTACTGTGATGGCCGAGTTGAGATTACTGGAGTCCACAAGTTCCAGACCAGGGCCATACCATTAGTGGAAACACAGCAGTACTGTTACTGGAAAAAGAAAGAAAAAACAAGTGTTTAAACATTGTAGAAGAAAATTAGGAAATTGTATGAAATGTATAGTTTATGGAGACTCTGCCTCCCTCCCACCAGTGCTGGGGATGGAATGCAGGGTCTTGGGTATGCTAGGCAAGCATTCTACTACTGAGCTATCCATTCCTAACCCTTGGTCTTTCGAGACAGGGTCTGGCTGTGTACCTCAGACTGGCCTCCAACTCACCATCCTCCTGCCTCTGGAATGCCCCGATTACAGCTTCTGATGCCATGCCAGACATGTGGAGACTTTTTTTTCTTTTTGGATGGGACTGGGCTTTGAATTCTGCTTCGTGCTTGAGTCATGCCTCCAGTACATTTTGCACTGGTTATTTTGGAGATGGGGGTCTCAGGAACTATTTGCCCAGGCTGGACTCAAATCTCCAGATCTGTCTTCCCCAATAGCTAGATTACCGGTGTGAGCCACTAGTGCCCAGCTACATGAACAATTCTTGATTAAATACTAATAAATCAGTGCTTAAAATAAATTTATTAAACTGTACGAAGGCCTGCCACTAAAAACCACAACAAACTGATCACCATAGAAACTTTAGAACCATTTTTTGTTTTGTATTACTAATTATTTTGGTGATACTGGGGTTTGAATTCAGGGCCTAGAACCATTTTTGCATAAATGAAGAATGGCTGGTATCTGTTATTTTACAACGTGGTATAGGAAGTCCTGAATTTATGGTAAGATCCGAGAAATAGAAATAGAAATTCAGGGCTGGGGATGTAGTTCAGTGGTAGAGTGCCTAGCATGTGAGGCCCTAGGGTGCATTTCCAGTACAGCAAGAAAAAAATTCCCAAACCAGAAATATATTTTTAAGAAGAAAACAATTCAAATTTGCAAGAAGTACCAGTACTATGGAAACACAAAGAATCAGTAGAGTGTAGCATGTGTGAAGATAAAAACAAAGACCTAAAGTGAATTGAGTGGAGGGATACAGACCATTACAGGTTTATACCGAGAGAACAAATGCAAGTCCTCCAGGAACGTGGCGGAATCAGGCAAAAAGCTTTCCTGAGCATCCCGCGGGGGTAATCCCCACCCCCAGTCTTGACCTTCAGTCCATCCAGCTGTCCACTCAACGGGCTGGGCCCGGTCCCGCCTCCAGCCCCGCCCCCTCACCGCCGTAGTCCCGCCCACAGGCCTGGCGCTGATCTCCACCGGGGCCTCTACATTAGTTTCCGCCTCAGTCCCCGCCCACAAACGTAGCCCCGCCCACAGGCCTGGCGCTCACTTCCACCTCGGCCTCTGCATTTGTTTCTGCCTCCAGCCCCGCCCCCAGGCTTCTAACCTCTTGCTGGGCCTCTGCATCTGTTTCTGCCTCCAGCCTCAGCCCTAAATCGACTTCGCGGCCGACCCCATCCTCGAGAGAAGTTAACTATAATTTCTGTGCCTGAAGCGGTCCAAAGTATTTCAGGTCGGACCCCGGAATCCGGCCCTCATAACCAAGGCAGCGGAAGTGACGTCACCATGAGCTGCCCGTCTTTTCCGGTGTGGCTCCGAGTTCCCTCAGTGGTGGTCTGCCTGGATACGGCTTTACTGAGGTTAGGTAAAGTGGCCGACCGGCAGTGGCAAGGGGGCGGTGAAAGTGCAGGTTTGTCCCTGGTGGCGGAGGAGCCTCGGTCGAGAGTCCGCGTCTCCGAGCGCTCGCGTCCGCCGGGGCCGCGCGGTGGGGTCCGAGACCGCTCTGGCTGTCGCTCCCACGGTGCGTGCTGTCTGGTGCGATTTGGGGACTTGGCATCCCTGCGCTTCCTCACAGGTTTTTCAGACACGGCGATTGCCTTTCCAAAAGCCTCCAAAGCAAGCTTTTAGGTTTTCTTTCAGAAGGAAAAGAATTCCCGCAGTTTGACTCACCGCGACTTCGCCCGACTTACGCCCTCTGCATGGACCGGCGCGTCCCGGTGAGCTCCGGGGCAAAGCTGGTTGTAGGGGCTTTGACGGGTGTCACCGGATGTTCGGCTTTCTCTCTGCGCGTCCTGTATTTGTTTCTGACACGTAATTACATTCACGTAGAAAGCTGCCTTTTTTGGGGGGGGCGGGAAGGACTGGGCTTTGAACTCAGGGCTTCTTGCTTGCAAACCAGGCGCTGAGCCACATCTCCAGAGCAATTTTGCTCTGGTTATTTTGGAGATGGGGTCTCGAGAACTATTTGCCCAGACTGGCCTCAAACCTCACTCCTCCTGTTCTCAGCCTCCTAGTAGCTAGGATTATGGGCGTGAGTCACAGGTGCCTGGCTAACAGCTGCTTGTTTTTAAGTTTCTGGGGCGTGTATATTTCCTTACATGGTTTATTGTGGAGGCAACAAGCTACTCCACTAAAACACAATAATTTACCTCTTTTCATCTGAAATTCCTAGGGCTGTACCATCCCCAACCCCTCTCTGCAGAGCTTCAAACCAAGGGCTTCGAGGAAGAAAGGAAAGATTGCACTGTAATATTTGAATTTGTCATCTTTCCAGAAAAATAAAATACGTTTTTTGGTGAACTATTTGAGAATTGCAGACATGCAAACTGAGCTTTAAATGCAAAGTACTGCATCTCTTAAAATAATGAAAAAAGATATATATTTTTTGCAGTATTGGGTTTGAACTCAGGACCTTGCGCTTGTTAAGCAGGTGCTCTACCACTTGAGTCATGCCTCCAGCTTAAATTAAGGGAATAAAAATAATGTTAATATATAGCCTATGTAAAAAACTAAAATTCGCTACATTGTTCCAATATATACTTTTGGTTGTTGTTGGTTCTAATACTGACTCCAAGTGTATATATTTTAGTTTTAGTTTTTTTTTTTATTCTTTCAGTACTGGGGTTTGAACTCAGGGATTTGCTCTTTCAGTTTGTCTTTCAAGTCTTTTTTTAATCTAAATTTTTTTTTTTTTTTTGAAGGGACTGGTGTTTGAGCTCAGGGCCTCATGCTTGCTAGGCACACCCTCTTACAGCTTCAGCCATGCTGCTAGCCCCTTTTTCTGACTTGTTTTTGTAAAATAGGGTTTTGAGAACTATTTTTCTGGGGCTGGCTTTGAACCGGTTGGTGATCCTGCTCTCTGCCTCCTGAGTGTCTAGGATCACAGGCTGATCCACTGGCACCCATCTTGTCTTTAAGTTTCTTTGAACCCAGAGCAGTGGCTGTTGTTTTTCTATTATTTTCTTTTGGAAGGATCACGAATTCTTTCAGAAAGCCATACATTGTGATTGTGTTTTCCTGGTATGTTTATTTTTTGGTAGGACTGGAATTTGAACTCGGCTTGACACTTGCAAAGCAGGCACTCTATTGCTTGAGCCATACCTCCAGTCCATTTTGCTCTGGTTATTTTGGAGATTGGGGGGGGTCTTGAGAACTATTTGCTTGGGGTGGCCTTGAATCATGATCCTCCCTATAAGCCTCCCACGTAGCTAGGATTACAGGTGTGACCACTGGTGCCCAGCTTATTTATTTATTTATTTATTTATTTATTGTGGTATTGGGAATGGAATCTAGGGCTTTGCACATGCACTCTTAACCATGGGGCCACATCCCCAGCCCTTTTCATTAAGTGTTTTCTCCGTTCTTGTTTTTCTTTTCTTTTCTTTTTTTTTTTGCAGTCTGAATATTTATTAAGCTTGTAATAAATTGGACAGAGCTACAAAAATGGGCCTCTGCCTTCTGGGTGCAATTCACAGCACCCACCCAGGATCATTGCCTTGCCATTTCTCTTTGGCTGGGTACTGGTGGATAGCACAGGTCACAGCTAACGGAGATTTTGCTTCATTTTAAAGATACATGGTCGAAGACTCATTGCTTTCTGTGAAGGTGCTGATCTGATCTGTGGCCTCACTGGTTTCATCCACAAAGCTGGAGGTCTTGACATTAGTAGAGAATTCAAAAGTGTGTGTGTCCCACTCGTACACATCTGTGGTGGCCTCTGATTTTGCAGTCTGCTGTGGGTCCATGGTTGAATCTCCATCTATGGTTACCTCTACAGCAGTGCTTAAGACCACTTCAGAGGTGATCTCCACATAAGTTGTAAACTCTGGCTCACCAGTTGAGTCTAGCTCACTGGTTGAGTCTAGAGGAGCTGGGGGTGGTGTGGGGAAAGCCACAGCCAGGGCACACAAGGCCGAGAGGATCAGGACTTTGCGGAGCATGGCCAGGGCAGGAGGGAGAGGGCAGGAGGCAGCAGAGGGGCAGACAGAAAGCAGTTGTTTTTATTTTCTTAATTGTTGTGCGGGATAGGGGTACATTGTGGCATTTATAAAAGTTCTTATACTATATCAAATAGATCATATTTGAGTTGACCCCTCCATCATTCTTCTTCCACCCTCCTCCTAATCCTGAAATAATTTCAGCAGGTATCACTTTTCCATTTATATACACGTGTACACAGTATTTGCACTGTATTCACCCCCCTCCCACTGGTACTGTTTTCCCCAGACAGAACCTGTTCTATCCTTCTGTTCTACATTTTTGTATAAGAAAAGAAGAAGAAAAAAAATGACATTTTTGCTTGTTTAAGATAGCTACACAGGGAGGTTCCTTGTGACATTTCCATGTATATATGTATTATAACCCGATTTGGTTCATCTCTATTTTTCTTTTTTCTACCTTAGTCCCTTACGGTGGTTTCATCTGGTTTAAAAATTCTATATTCATTCTTGTATAGAGAGTAGTACATCAACCATATTCACCTTCTTAATTTCCTTCTTTTAATCTCTCCCCCTCTCATATGTGACCTCCCCTTAGTGTGACCAGTGTTTCATGATATTGCTGCCTTTGTGTTAGATCTGTATTCCACATGAGAGAGAATATGTGGCTTTTGGCCTTCTGAACCTGGCTGACTTCACTTAAGATGCTGTTCTTCAGTTCTGTCAATTTACCTGTGAGTGACAAAATTTCATTTTTCTTTGTGGCTGAGTAAAATTCCACTATATGTAAATACCACATTTTCTTAATTCATTCATCAGTAGTAGGGCATCTTGGCTCTTTCCATTCCCTTCTTGTAATACCTGTAAACTGTTGGGTGCCTGAATGGTTTGTTAAGGTCTGGTGACAAAATTCAACTAGAGCTATTTGAGGGAGCTTATAAACTAGGGGAGGAGGCTAATGTGTAACCAGGGAAATGAATGTATCATAAATTGGTAAAGGTTTGGAAAGGATAAGACAGTATTTTTTTTTTTTCTGTCTTTGTATGGGTGTAGGTGAAGCTAAGAAAATGAGTAATTTGTTAACTTGGAACCAAAAAATACAAGATGTAGGGGCGGAGATGTAGCTCAGCAGTAGAACACTTGCCTAGCATGTACATAGGCCCTGGATTCAGTTCCCAGCACTGCAAACAACAAAACAGGATGTGGGAGGTAGCCATGAAAAAGGAAAGGGAGTAGGAGATGATGAAATCTCTCTATGGATTGGCACATTACATAGGTGGAGGGAGACAGGGAAGTTTGGCAGGTTTGGCATTATCATCATTTTTATGTTTGGGGAAAAAGTTGAGAAAAGAGTCTATAATAACAGGCAGGAAAACTAAGTGTTATCCATTCAGATGCTGTACGTCAAGATAAAATAGGATAAAGCATGCATGTGTTTGAATTTTCATGAGTTGGAAATTAATTTGAGGAATTAGAATATGAGACTGAGCATTGAAAAATAAATTCATCATGAAAATTCATTTCTTTTAATTACCTATCTTAATAAATGTTTGTGTACGGATTTTGAGAGAATCAAAATCTGTTTTCCTTTTTCTACCTAGACGAGGCTTCATTTCCTCAAGTGTCTATAGTGATCATTCCTGTGTGCTTTTTTTTTTTTTTTTTTTGGTGGCACTGGGGCCTGAACTCAGGGCCTCATGCTTGCTATGCAGGTGCTCTTATCGCTTGAACCACTCTGCCAACCATTTTTTTGTGATGGGTTTTTTTCGAGATAGGGTCTCAAAAACTATTTGTCCTTGGCTGCTTTCGAACTTTGATCCTCCTGATCTTTCCCTCTTGAGTAGCTAGGATTACAGGAGTGAGCCACTGGCGTCTGACTTGTGTGACTCTTCATAGACATGCACACATCTATAGGTTGGACTCGCTTTACAGGTAAATGATTAGTCCCCTGCCATTGTGGGCTCCCAGTAAGCTCTGAAGGGGCCATGTGGCTTGGCAGCGTCCATATTCTCTATTGCCACTCTGGGTCCCAATGAGCTGGGTGGACATAGTGAAACAATATATGAGGGTTCTAAGGATGAAGCTGATGAGGATGTGCATGTTTATTGGTGAATCAATCTCAAAACCTGTTGGTAATATATCCTAACTTCATATGAACACATGTTCTGTCACAAAAAAAGGAATGCATGTATATGTATATCAAGATAGAAGTGTGGGACTGGGGATGTGAAGATCAAGGGCAGCTGGGCAAAAAGTTATCAAGACTTGCTTCAACCAATAAGCTGGCCATGATGGTCTGCACCTGTAATCTCAGCTACGCAGGAAGTTTAGGTAGGAGGATTGAGGTCCAGGATGGCTTTGGCAAAAACGGGAGACTATCTGAAATATAACTAAAACAAAAAGGGTTGGGTGTATGTGTGTGGTGTAAGAGGCCCTGAGTTCAAACTCCAGTACCATCAAAAAGAGAAAGAAAAATGTAAAGACTTTACATAACAGATTATGTATAATAGAGCCATAAGTTAGAAATAGCCCAACAGAATACTGGGCAAGTTAAAGTATTCTTATCCTATGGAAGACTCCATAGCAGATAGAAGGAATAAATTAAAGGCAGTTAAAAAAAAAAAGTACTGGTAAACTTCATAGACACAATTTTGAGTGAAAGAATCTGGATCCAAAAGAATGCCTCTGTCCCCAGAACAGCAGGGGTTTAGCTGTAAGATGACGGATATGTGTGTGCTTACCTATTGCTGCCTAACATAGTGCTTTAAAACATTTACTTA